AATCCAACCGGCGGTATAAGGTCCCAAGATATAATCGAATTAGGTTAAAATATTCCTTTGTACACCAAGCTGTACTAGAGCTAAACAAGTGAACCTGCTGTAACGCAAGACAAATTTCAGACCTTGTCTGACAATAAAGTTGTATCGTATCGTATGTATCGTATCGTATTCTTCAGTTCAAGGCACTTTTGAGACTTTGAAAAATCAAACTTCTTTAACCCTGTTAAAACATTTATCACATGTCCTGAAAAAATATTTGATCATGGCTTTGATGAGCCTTCAAGTATAATGTGGTCTCCAGGGTTATTATTATAAAGTAAAACTAATATGTGACCCTGGAGCACAAAAGCAGTCTTAAGTCGCTGGGGTATATTTGTTACATTTTTTGGAAGGTAATGGTACTTTTACTTGAGTATATTTTTTCAGTACTCTTTCCACCACTGAGCAAATGCATATGAAAACATCTTTTCTTCCTTGTTTTTTTTTTTTCTTGCTTGCGTTCTCTGGAGCGAGACAGGTCAAGTGTTCATTTTCTCAAATCTCAACATAACGCCGTCGTCTCCAGTTGCTTAAACTTGTTGTAAATTGATTAAGATGAAACACTCCACATAATTGCCGCCTCCTAATTCCTCACGAGTGGCAGACAGTCGATGCAGCCAGCGGAGAGCAGCGCGTTGTGTCTAAATAATTGCTGACATTTACAGGTTTGCAGATGACAGAGCAGCCCAGTGGGCCTGTGAATCAAAGCGCTCTCATTCTCAGAGGACAGCAAGAGCTTTATGAGTGGAAGTGAATGAATACGTCTGCCTGCTTTAGCTTTATAATGCACACAGTATAGTTATTGGATCTGACTGTCAGATCCATTAAACAGGTGATTATTGTGTTTATATTGGGCATTGAGTTGAAGGGTAATAATAGGGCTTTTCACACTTTAAAATCTTGTAAGGCTGGCCAATAATATTGTCTCTGAACCGAATCATGTATTGTATAATGAATTTGTACTGTTGCCATCCAACCGGCGGTATAAGGTCCCAAGATATAATCGAATTAGGTTAAAATATTCCTTTGTACACCAAGCTGTACTAGAGCTGAACAAGTTACACAAAATTAAATCGGTACCGGCTTCATTCGGACAACTTTAAAGGCGATTTTCTCAATATTTTGATTTTTTTGCACCCTCAGATTCCAGATTTTGAAATAGTTGTATCTCAGCCAAATATTGTCCTATCTTTCAGATGATGTATGAATCTCAATTTCGAAAAATTTACACTTGAGACTGGTTTTGTGGTCCAGGGTCACATATGAAAACTAAAACCATAAAAACAAATCTGATGAAACATAAAACTGATATAAAAATGACTAAGAACTATACAGACATAAAAAAAACCTAATAAAAACATTATGAAATTACTAATAAATAAAAAACTACAGTAGATAAAAAGTTACAGGTAAGCTTTGAACTTTCTAACACGTAGCCATCAATAAATTTTCAATTGATAAAAACAGTGTTTTAGTTAAAATTCTCTAAGTGGTTTTGTAATGACATCTAAAAATGCTGCTGACAGACTTCGTGATTTTCATGGTACAAAGAATCTTAAAATTATGTACACTGATGACAGAGATGAGCTTATTGAGCTCCACTGTATAGTATAAACAAGTATAAACATCTTTGGAAAAATATGTTTGTTTTCTAAGATGGTAAAGGCCAATATATCAAATGAATAAAAAACAAATGAATCAAGTGCATATTTTTCTCATAAATGCTTTCAGAAAAAGTATAAAAATAGAGACGAAGAGACGAAGAGAAAGTGAGGGTTAGAGACTTTCTGGCAAATTTAACCTTTCAAAAGCAGGAAAAAATAATTCGAGCCAAACTAAACTTTAAAGCTACTGTAAACGATATTTTAAAGCTATAGTGCAGTAAAACGATTTACTGTAAAAGAAAAAAAAATTATTCCAGGGGACAGAAAAATTACATTAAAAGAAAAATTTCCCATATACAGTATGGAAACAATGCAGTTTAGCAACAGACAACCAATCATAAACCTTAGTGCTTAGCTCATAAAATTGCGCTCTGCATAGCCGCAGTAAGTAAAACTGTTCAGCGTCTGAAGTAAACTCCTAAATCAATGTTATTAAAGACATAAATATGCAAATAAGCAAGCAAGCCAGGGTTTACAAAAGTACAGTGTGAAACTTCAATGACTACTATAATTAATTACTAACCCAGGGTAAAGTATGAAGAGTGTAAAACACTGAACAAAAACTCAGGGTTAAGAATGAACAAACCGAAGTGTGAAAAGCCTAAATGAGTATGTGCTTTCTTCCCACAAGAACACTGTGAAGCTTAACTGTGCAGCATAATGAACGCCTCCACAGAATCTCGACATTGAGCTTTTCAGAAGATGTTCTGCAATCAAAGAAAGCACGTTCACTGTTTTATTTCTGTGGGTGTCTTTAATGAATTGATTTTTCATGAAATTAAACCTCATGATCAGCTTTTAAGCCAGAAACATACAAAACGCAAAGTATGCAAACATATATGGAAATGCTGAATTATTGTGCTACTTTTATGCTAACAGCAAAGAAAATTTAGAACAGAAATAAATCACTATTTGGGTTTTGTTGAATAATGGTCTAAAAATCAGGGACAAATAAAATCTGTGTAATTATATTTATTAGTGAACATACATATCCAATAAGACAATACAGAAACAATATACAATATCTAAAAACCATTTATATTCACTATAGAAAATTTGATGGCTTTTAATATTTTATTTGTTTCCATAATTTTTCCAGGAATAAAAATTGCAATTTTATTATTATTATTTTTTAGAGGTTTTCTGCAATAAAAGCACATTAAACTGACCGATATAGAAAATGTGGACAATACGGTAGACAATAATTAAGCTGATAATTAATCTTAACACTAAAATTGTAAAATAAAAATAAATTAAAAACGAATTATAACAAAACCTCAAGTTCTAAATGCTTTCGAGAACTTAAATCAACAACTTTAAAAAGAAGTTTATATTTAAAATTTAATTACCATGAATTTATTATATATATAATAATTATAGATTTTTATTATATATGATT